GATGCGACGAAGCAAATCAACGAACGCATCGATCACGTCGTCACCATCATCGGCGACATAGGTGTTTTCAACGGACCGGACACGATCAGCAGCACGGTGGCCGCCATCAAGACGGACATCACCAAGCTACAGACGAGACYGGAYGCCGCTACAAAKAYGTTCAAGATGCCGCACTTCGACATCTGCAAGTTCGACGACTACAACAAGTCGGACGCTTTGACATGGTGGCAACGTTTCCTCACGGAAGCGTCATGCCGCACTGTCCCGGCGAACGACATGTTGAAGGCACTCTATTTGCAACTGATTGGAGGAACGCAGGCATGGATGAACCACCTGGCGGCCACCCACAAGTGCACCATCGCCGAACTCCACACGCACATCACGTGGAAGGAGTTCGAGCAGCTATGGTTCACCCGGTTCATGGTCCGCAACGTCGTGAAGGCGGCCATGAATGAGGTGTATACATGCTCTCAGGGGAACATGCCAACTCGAGACTGGACAACGAAGTGGCAAAAGATAGTGACCACACCAGGCTTCGACTTGACGTTTCCAAATCAACGATCCGAGTTCTTCTCGCGATCATSCDCRSGATTGCGGTCGGCACTCGGTAATGAGTACGACTATACCACATTCCAGGSCATTCTGGATCGAGCGAACTTGGTCATCCAAACGGACGACAAGGCCGCTAACGAGAGACAATCCCAGCCGCATTATGTGGCTAAGCAGGCCTATCAACGTCTAGCACATAACAATGTCGTGATTTCTGAGGAAACCGACGACCACCACGCTGCAGCAGCATCCTCGGGTGATAGAGGAATTGTCGTAGCGCTCCCGTCGAAGCGTCCCAAGAGAGTTCGTAAGAACAAGGCGACACAAGAGACGGCAGCGACGGGAGCTGGGCAGCCATGGACGGCATATAAGATCACCAAGGAGGTCTATGACCTACGTCAGAAGTACTAATACTGCCTTTGGTGCAACGGAGTCACCCATATGACCGCACAATGCCCCGAAAAGGGCAAGGCACGTGTAACCCATCCAGCAAACTCGGGAAACTGAGTTACGCAAGGAGAGGGGCGACGTCTCTCCTCACTCCACCGGACCCGGTTGCCTTGCTAGCAATCGATGTCACTACCGGGGAGCATGCGTTAGTCGCTGATTCTTGTGCTACGTACGAGGATTATGCCGCCCAGCTGGTACCACCATTAGACCAGCCTAGCCACGTGCATGTAGATTGCGTATGCGCAGCCTGTACACCGTCGGCAAGTGATCCGGTTAGTTC